CTTCTTTTTCTTCTTTTTTTTATTTTTATACTTTTTTATTTTATTAATAAAATCTTAAAGGGGGGGGAAGGGCAATATGGGTTTTTACTGCTATGCATAGGGTGATTTTATCCAAATCTTGGTTTTTTAACAGTTTGCCCTCTGGGCATCCGTACTGCTATGACTTCTGCAAGTTTCTGGATATTCTTCGGGGGTTGATTTGATGCCTTGCAGAGATCATGTCATTAAACTTTTCTTTAAAGAGCATTCCTGCTTCAAATATCTACTACAATTCTATTCTTTTATGCTTGCTCTTGATTTTAGTCAATTCGTTTCCGGTTTTAACACATGGTCTTACTAGAACTAATCTTCGAAGGCTGTGATTGACAGAAGAGAAATGCGGGAGGAAGATAAGCAAGGGAGAAGAAGAAAAAAGAGCAAAATAAATCATCTCAATACGACTATGACACACGTGCAATACGTCACCGATCGGGATAACAGACAATTATTCAGCTTTGCTTTCCCAGTCGATTCCATTGCCTTGTTAGATCTCTCAAACTTCACTCAGTAACAACCAAAAGCCAGTTGCCAGTTGTTGAATTACGTATCAACGAACTGTACAAGTCCTCCCCCCCCTTCCTCTTTCCTCTAGAAGCCATCGCGTATTCCATTCCACCGATTGCGAGTGTGATCAGGCGTATCTACTTGACGAAGACGCTTGTATCTTCCGGTGCCTTCTTGGCCTTGACTACCACCAATGATGACATCAGAAGACAAGGAATTGTCATGACCCGCCAAAGAAGTATCCACGGGTAAAAGGTTCCTGGAAAGTCTTCTGGTAATGAGTCAAGGACAGGGTGCGTGGCTCCGTTTTCACGGGATTTCTGATTTCAGCCCCGGCAGACTCGATGGGTTGGCTCGCAACAGTGTGAGAAGGTCCCTACCAAAACGCCGATGGCGTTCCTAGATGAGAAGTCGCCCTCGCATTCCACGTCGCAAATTCCGAGCGCAAGTGTTGTTCAACAGGACGGCTGTTCGTGCAGTTCCCACAGCGACACCGCGGCACCGTTTGCAGGCAAAGTTTGTACAAGTCCAGCTGAAGTGCTTAGCTGAATTGATGTGTGGCAAACGAGCGGTCGTTGAAGAATGTTCCCAATGCACTCGCTTGTCAGGTCGCATTTTAATGGTTCACCCCAGCTGGTCACATGAAGTCTGCAACGGCACCTTGGTGCAATGCATGCACTAGTAGCAGCTTAGCAGGGCAGACAGAATTGAGATTGCAGTCATCGAGCTCGGGAAACTGATTAGGTTGTTGTCGGGCTGGTTCCTAGCGGAAGCAGATGTATATTAGTACCTTATGTTGCTCGCTAGGGAAAGTTTGTCTAGAGAAAGACATGGAATACTCACCTGGGCCCTTTCGTCTACTTGAGGACCACAGTGGCAATGAAAAGTTGCTCAGCAGTGATGCGTCCCCAGCACGAACATTGAACCGTTGTGATGCCGCGGTCGTGGCGGATTTTACCGACTCTGCATGTGGTTGCTGACTGAAGGACGATGGCAAGCATCTTTTTCATCAAACATCCCAACACAGCGTTCCATATCGTACAGCCTGACGAAATATGTTCCTTATGAGATGATGGGCGATGTCACTATTGACTCATTGCCTCTTGTTCGTTTGCGTTTCATGATCAGTACTCCATTCTGCAGGAGGATGAAGTCCCTGGAATCAAGGGTACACCAATTCTTGAGCAGATTGATACCGCGTCGCACACTCAAGAAGGCAACAGTTCCACCCCAACATCGTCAATGGCCGGCGAGAAGATTGTTGGCAACTTCAGGGACCTCGACCATGCATGTCTCGCGTTGAAGAACTTCCAGGAACAACTGAATGTTTCGACTGGGTATTCTAAGAAGGTCGTCCGGGAGAAAATGTGGTCGTACAGGTTTCGCTTTCCGAAGAGGAGTTGCTTTCTACCTCGCTTGGGTGATCCCTATATCTGACAGAATCTAGCCCGAAGTCAAACCCAACCGGAGAATACCTGGATGATTCCTGAGCCTGGGCACCCGGACTTCTTTGAGGACCTGTCAAAGGGTAGACAACAATGCAGGAGGATCGCCGTCGTCATCAGATGAGGGAGCGTAGTCCAAGTCCAGGTTGATATGATCGCTTTCATCATCGCCAAGTGAGAGTCTCTATACTCCTAGTCCAGATCATCAGATGAGGGAGCGTAGTCCAAGTCCAGGTTGATATGATCGCTTTCATCATCGCCAAGTGAGAGTCTCTATACTCCTAGTCCAGATCATCAGCCATGATAGGCTCATCTCTGGGCTCGAGGTATGGAATCTGAAGATTTTGGAGACGGGAATGGGTGGCATCTCCAACAAAACTCGAAAGTGCAGCGGGCGGGGAGGATCTCAGTTGTGTATCACTTCGGCAGGCAGTGCGCGCTCCCCCAGATGAAATGAGTGCAGATGGGATGGGTGAAGATGGTGAAGGCGTTGATGCGACAGGAAGAAACGATGGCACGGTCTTGTGGGAAAGACTTTCTCATCTGCGCCAGTATTGAGGAAGGAATGTATTCTGGGAAGGAACAAGGTTAGAATTTGACGGTCGATTGTTGCTGAAGGAAGGCACGCCTGGCTGCATGGCAGGTGATGTGCATCAAACAGATCTTGGAATGGTACGTACCTGGTCAAAAGGTGGGAAGGGATGAAAAGATAGGGACGAGGTCGAAGAGAGAGATGCATGGAAAGCGCGCTTGATTTCAGAGTGATCTAATTCTTTGTACTTAAGAAAGTACTACGCTTTCCATGATTCCCGTGACGAGTTCTCGTAGTTTCGAGGCTGCCAAGAAGCTTGCTTGTAAGGGGAACAGTGAAGAAGCTTTTTGAAGAAGGGCAGGCGGGAAACCTTGAGAGCGAAAGCGATTTGTGTCGTTCAGATGTTTCTATTCGGGTTTCGATGAGTGCCTCTGGGTGGCTCCGAAATGCTGACTGATCTGGGAATAAATAAACTTTGTGAGTCTCGGAGTCGTTTGCTTTGCTGTTCGGTGGTGATTCGACTTTTCCTGGGCTTGGTCGAGGAGAAGAAGGGAGAGGAGAGAAACTGAGAAGTTTAGAGGAATATTATGTATCTGCTAACAGATGTAGAATGAGAGGATCAATAGTCTAGTGTCCGACTCTAGACAGCCTATAATAATAACACGACGAAACCAGTGGGTGTCTGCCGGTGGTGCTGATTCTGGCTCGTGGGTGTACGAACCACGGGCGTCGGTCCTGGCCCAGATCCTCGTGGTGTTGCTCAGCTTTCTTCTTCTTCTTTTCCTTGACCGCCGCCAGGAAGGGAGGGGACATGGAGGGTGGGAGAGGAAAGAAAGAGAGAGGGGGGGAAGGGTGGGTTGTTTTGATGAGGAGGGCAGAGACGAAAGTGAGGGGAGACAAAAGAGGAATTGGAAGTTGCGCGTTATTTTTGTTCAAAGTGGTCTAATTCTCGTGATGCATTGCTCCTATGCATACGACCGGTGACGCGTCTGAGGTCACTGCCACGGCATAACCCATAAAAATGGCGGAATGTGTTTCTTTCGAGGCAGAGGAGGGCCTTTGTACTTCAGGGAGTACCGCGCGTTCCATGATTCAAGAATGCCTCCTCCAAGCCCCCAGGGAGGAGCCCGGAGGAGCAAAATTCGATGGTATGGGTGAGGATGAGGATGAGTATGAGGGTGGGTGTGAGGCTGAAGAATTAAAGAGGAGGGGAAGGTGGAGGGGTGTTTGTTGTTGTTTCAATCAAGAAGGAAGCTGTGAGGTCCACGGGCCCGGGATTTATACTAACCTTAGTGTTTCCAGGCTGGCGGGCCCCACTCACCGCCGGATCCACAGCCGGCCGGGCGGCGGCAAAACTAGAACAATCCTAAACAATGTCGCCGCTGGCGCAAGCAATTCCTGCGCGACCATGACAGTTTCATTCATTCCTGGCCGGAGTTACTCGATCAGATTTGATGAAAATTGGTTGAAATATGTGGAAATATCTCAAGAATACCTCGTAAAAACAAGGCCTTGACGCGCCGCACCCAACACAACATTCATTCAAACAGGACTCATATGATTGAGATGAATTATTTTCAATCAACTTGTTCATACATAGCCATGTAACTCGATTTCCCCACTGCAGAAATCTCCATTCGCAGACCAGATTTGCAGCATTCACCCAGGGATACGAGCTATTGATGTGACAGTACGCAAAAAGTGCCATTCAGTCTTCCATCAATGAGTAGGAAATTCTATTATCAGGCCAAACACGAGGCAATGCACGCAGCCCACTACTTGTATTGTGCAAATTGGCTTAACAATGACCGGGCCAGAATCATGCCTCGCAAGCTCCATGACACTTAACGCAAACAGGCGGCCAACAATCGAGACGACTTGCGCAGTCTTTCGATCGCATATTATTGATCGAGTGGGGCGGAGTCTCCGTGCCTCCCCATTGTCGATGCCTCTCGGGAGACTAGAATAGTATCAATCTGGACTGATCACGAGCACATTGCGCGCTGCTTTAGAACAATCAGACGTCTGGCAGCCGGTTCGCCGTTTGCAAGAAGTATCCATCCAAACCTCCGCGAGCCTTGCCCTCCCCCCACCACAACACCTTTCAAAACATCCCATTTCTTGCACACCTGCAACTTTCCACCATCACTTTCACATCAAACCACACACTGCTTTCAATCATCCTCTCTTTGATAATTCCGCAAGTCTCTTTTTGCTCAAGAGAAGTTCCTCGCAGCAGCCGCCTCTGTTCGTCAGGAATACAACGCCTCTGACAAGTTCGATCTTGTTACTCTGCCGCCTTTGCCGGCTTCCTCCTCGAATGACGCCCTTACTGAGCCCCATGGGCATTGATGTGGCTGATCCTGAGATGAAGACCACCGAGCAGCATAATAAATCGCCGGATGGTAACAATAAGTCCGGTGATCACATGGCCGACTTACACCATGCACCCGATACTGGCCTGGAACCGGACTGGAAGACTATCGACAAGAATGCTCGTTTTGGGATCGACAGAGCTCAGACGTATGATGTAAAGGGCGAAAGGATTCACGAGCGCAAAACCCATCTCGTGTGCGCAGCCGTTGCCGCATCAGAAGTCATTGACGGCAAATTGTCCAATCGACGATGGCTCGGCTCATACACTCCACAGTATGTCAAGACTGCAGGCCATGGACCCCTGAATCCGGGTGTTCGCTCAAATATTGCATTCACAAATGCAGAATATGGATATGGCATCTTTGAGATTGAAAATGTCTTCAGACAGCCTGGCGAAACTGGTTATGTTGCCCCTTTCTCGAAGACATCACTGTCTACAAAGTTGGCCGCGAAACCGGTCGCCAAGCCCATGACTGGCTCCGAATTCGAAACCTACTGCAAGGCCACCGGTCTACACGAGGACAGCACTGATGCTTACACTGCCGTGTTCAAGATCACAATCCATATTACGACATCGGGTGCCAGATATGTTGAGCATCGACCTGCAATTCTCCGGCATACTCGTCTGAATCATGTGGGTTGGGACACTGTCCGTCAGGAAACTCGACAGTCTGCTACAGAATTCTCCGGCAAAGAGTTATTGATCGAAATGTTCTTCCCTGGTACTGGCAGATTACCCGCTCTCCTTTTCCGTGATCTCGAGTCAACCATCGCCAAATCCAAGAAGAATCCTTACGAGCGATTGGTGACCAAGGTTTCCAGATCACGCACTTTCAAGAGCATGAGGGACATGCCCAGCGTCCTGGAATGCGGCTTCGTCATGCCCGATGCACCGGTAGTGGCATTCTCTGGCGTTGATGAGCAATCTGTTCGTCTCGGAATAGCCTTACGCGATGAGTACCAGTTTGAAGAATCGCTCATGGCTCTCGCTGAGAAGAGACCCTGCAACACTCTTGCCCTTCGACTCAAAGGCCATCAAGTCAAGGGTGTGGATGGTGGATTCCTCTTCATCTTTGTGGATCCGCCTGCTGATTTGGTTCCCGAAATTGGAGAGCGGTTTCTCGTCCGCCTTGACAATGTTCCTTTTGCGCAGCCTGACTCTCCTACCATAGCACTCACAGATGCTCAACGATGTGAGACCATCGCTACTTGCATCACTGAGACATGCGAGGTTGCCCGTTCGTTGGCCAGAATGGATGATAACCTGTTCCTCGGCTACATCTATGATGCTCTTGATCAGGTTGTAAATGACGACGAGCAACGTGACGAGTTCATGGAATTCCAAGCCAGGAAACTCATGCCACGCAAGGGTACTCCAGCAACGGATACTGAGGCTGCTACGCCCTCAGAACATCCCTCAGATCACCGGACTCGTGTTCGTGACTGGGTCAAGGACAAATTCTCCCACGGGCTTCTCAAAACCCCCGACAAAATTCTCGACCGCTGCCCCGATATGCCTGCAGTTCGCATCGTCGCTCCCTCATGGTTGGAGCCACTTGAAGTTGTTGTGGCTTATGTTCGTGCACCCAAAGTCCCGGAATGGCCAAAGAATATCAAACCGACTCCTGTCATTGACGTCAAGTTCCCACGCATATCAATTCAACCAAGCGTGTATGAAACTGTCCGCACAGCCCGCAAGCATATGAAAAACCTCAAGTTCACTACACGCTTCATTCGTCGGGCCCATGACGGACAGATGAATGCAGGCTTGCACGCGCTTGATTTGGCAGGCAAGGATACATGGGAACTTTCCGAAGCACATGATGCAACATTCGCTCGACTCATTGCCAAAGGTGGTGGGCCCACAATCGACTACAACGTCTTGGAAGCCCTGCCCTTGCTGAACGAGTTCATGGCTCATGTCAAGTCCGAGACTGTGCCAACAGACCCAGTCCTGAAAGCCTGCCTTGCCATATACAAGAAGCTCGATGCCGACCAGAAGTTAATTTTCGATGATCTAACAGCGCTTCCTTTTGGTATCAGAATAGTTTCCGGAGGTCCCGGATCTGGCAAGAATTTTGTTGTGCAGCTTTTCATGGCAATTGCTCAGCATAGCGAGGTAGTCGAGGATGTGGTCAACGGATGGCTCAACACTACAGTCCCACTACCAGCTCAAAGAACCACTACCAATGATCGGTCTTCTGATGGTGCCTGGGTTACTCAGCAACCGACATTATCTGCCGATGATAAGGCCAGTTGGGACACTGCAAGACGAGAGATCAAATCGTCCAAGGAGACGCTGGACTTTGGCGATCATATGTCTGATCCAGATGCATATTCTGCCCGTCATCAGGGGAAGCTTGTCATCCTTGCGCCATCCAATAAGTTACTGGACAAGATAGCCATCGATTTGAGAGACCTTTATGCCGAATTGAAGCTGAAGAAACGCATCTGTCGCGTCCTGATGCCAGGTACGGCATCATCCGACATGGAACATCGAATTAGATCAGAACCTCCCGTTTCGCCGTATGATGAGGATATACCCGAGGAAGGCGATGATATTTTCGAGACAGATATCTACCTGGGACAATTGTCTAAGGAGTGTCTCGATCAACATCGCTTCATTGACCCCCCTGGTGGTGATTTCGCGGTCTCAGCTCTCGTGGCGAAGCGCATTACCAATCCCGTACATGGTGACGGTCTGGCCGAATATGTTACAGATCTTGAAGCAGAGCGTTCCTCCGACCCAGATAATTTTTATCTTACATGCATCAAGATCTTGCGAGGACTGTTGAAGAAGGCTCGGAACGAAGAGTACTTGGCGGCAGATGTGCTGTTAAGCACCCCCGAAGCATGGTTCAATCTCTCTTGTCAGAAGTTGCCCATGAAAATCACCGCGCTCTGGATAGATGAGTCGTTCCGTATGACAGAGCCAGAGGCTTTGATCGGGCTCCAGCATGCTCATCAAGCAAAGGTCAGATTCATGACTGGCGATAATGAACAGCACAAGCCAATCGTGAAGTCCATCGACGCCCATAAAAGCAAAGATGACGATCGCGTATTCTGTGCACAATTCGGCTCTCAGCTCGGGTTGGCCTTGCCATCCCGCATGATGGCAGCTGGTTACGAGCACATCATTCTCAATCATAACCATCGGGCCCAAGGTGGTGTCTCCGAGTTTCCGAACGAGTAATCTTGTCATAGAACCATGTTGGAGGACAACGTCGAGATGTGTCCAAAGCAACCGTAAAACACCATCAAATTGATAAAATATATTGCGGTCTTATAAATAAGCCTTTCCCTCTCTTTTTAATAATTACTATATATAATACGGGGTTAAGTTAATTCCTAAGAATTTTCGTGTTAAACCCAGTATTTAAGTATTTGCTTTAATTATTATTAATATTATTAAAAAAAAAAAGAAGAAAAGAAAGAGAAA